AATCGATTTAATAGTTTTCCAAATATCTCGAGAACGGGGTGAGGAAAAAATTTGGAAATAATTACACATACACACATAAAAATTTTCTATGAAAATAAATATTTTGTAAATTTTTTTTCTTGAAAAAATTTTCACATACATATTTTTTGATAAAAAAAATTAGTTTTTGAAAATATGCCATCTCAAAAAAAAAAATAAAAAAAAATATATCACAATGGTATCTCTGAGTATTGCGCAATATTTAAGTATAGTGTTATGGGGTGCACTCTACAATAATTTGAGTTATGAATGTTTTTACACAGAAGTTGAGTAAAATGAGTACATTGCAAATTTACAAATTTTTTAAATATTTTTTGGAATTCTTTTTTTTGGTATGTAGTTTTGTAGCCCATTAGCATAATAAAGTGCAAGTTTTAAATGATTTCAAAACTGGAGTTAATTTTTTTTTAACTTCTTTGAAAACGGTTTTGTGCATTTTCTTCCACAAGAAAAAATATAAATAAATATATAATAAATATATTAAAAATCAACGCAATTTTTAAGTAGCTTAAATCTTGCTCTTTATTATAATAAAATTTAATGGGCTAGAAAACTTTCGCCGAAGGTGTTGCGGGTTTGTGCCATATAAAAATTAATTGTGTTTATTCGTTATATGGAAGCAAATGAGAGAAAAAAAAACTAAAAAATCGAAAATTCGTTTTCAATACGATTAATTTTTCTTTTCTAATGAACATTTTTTGAAGTTTTGCGCCTTGATTCGCCTTGTAATTAATTACCATTAATTTCCACTTAAATGAGTTTGGTGAAATGCCGCCTTAGATACACAATTTAAATATGTATCGCAATAATATTAACTATATTTAGGAGGATTGCCAGCTGTTTCAGAATTCTTCGCTAACTTATGCATAAATCCGAAGACGAGGACCTAGGCTAATATAAAAAGTGCTTCTCTATTGCTAATAGTTAATATTTTAATATTTAATAATATTCATATTGATTTATTCACTTCAACGCAATCAAAACGAATATTTCATGTACCGTTTTAACGTGAATGCGATGTTATTAATATCACGTATTTCTACGTTTAAATTTGGCGGCTGTGGCTCCGACACAGCCCGCAGGTGAAGAAGAAGACTAATCTTTTTTTTTATAAAAAATTTGCGAAAACTAAAATAATTACAGTTGCCCGTATTGCAAAAAAAAAAACAAAACTCGTGAGGTAACGTACAAGCTCTTCGTCTCCGAAAATATTCTGTATGGTCTCTGATGACGCCATTTCCGAGACGAGATCTGCCGAAGAATGTTTATTCTCTCTCCATAAAAGATTTTAAAGGTCTGTCTAGAGTCCGTCTGTTAGAGAGGATTTGCTTACGTATTTGAGCTTTAAATCTTACTGGCGATTGCCCTACCACTCATATATGTAATTCGCTATACACCTTAAGAGTCTCTGTGGAAGAGTGGAAGCTTCAATGTCTGCCAGTAGCGGTATCGAAAACTTTTGACACATCAAACGTTGCTAGGACGGTTTTCTCGCAGGGGCGGTTGCAGTTCAAAACCACGGGTTATCTCAGCGTTAATGTTGTTAAGTGCTAATGTAAATATTACTATGTATTTTTCGGAAGTTATGCTGATGTTTCGTAGAAGTCAGATGTTAAGTACATATTGTTCCGGAGTACTAAGACCTCAAGAGTTTTTACCAAGGATGAATATAGTGTTATCGGTACGGTGACCATCCGTTCTGTTTTTTGTAGGACCGTACTGTTTTTCAAAGGTCGGTCCTGCGTAGTTTTTCAAACCTAAAAAACCTGAAAATGTACTGAT